CGAACAGGAGTTCGAAGGGGGAAAATCCCGTGGATGCCTGGGGCACCTCACGATAGGCAAACAGAAGATGGGGAAGATACTTCTCCCAGTTCCCGCAGGACTCTGCGAACGTTTTTAGCATTTGCTTGAGCGTGCCGTTAAAACGTTCACAGAGACCGTTGGTCTGGGGGTGATATGGGGCGCTAAAGAGGGCTTTCACTCCACAGCTCTGCCACAGCTGTTGTGTCAGGAGAGCTGTGAACTGAGTCCCTCTGTCGGATAGGATCTCCTGGGGGAAACCTACCCGGGAGAATATTTTGACCAGGGCCTCGGCTACAGTTTCGGCCTCTATATTGGGAAGGGCTACGGCTTCGGGGTACCGAGTGGCATAGTCCACTACGGTGAGTATGAACCGTTTACTAGACTGACTGGGCCGACTGAGGGGTCCTATTAAATCTACCGCTACCCGGTGGAACGGCTCTTCTATGATGGGTAACGGGTGGAGCTTTGCTTTTTGGTGGTCACCCCGTTTCCCTATTTTCTGGCAAACGTCACAGGTCCTGCAATAGTGTTTGAGGTCTTGAGTGATCCTGGGCCAGAAGAAAGTTTGGGTCAGGCGGTCCCTAGTCTTCTTAACCCCTAAATGTCCGGCTAGAGGAATATCATGGCTGAGCCTTAGTAACTCAGCCCGAAACGTGCGGGGCACTACTAGTTGTCTTTTAGTAACCTGGGCGGTTCCGTGTCCCGCCCCATTTGTCACCCTATACAACAGTCCCTTATGCCATTCAAACTTTTCGTGGGGGTTGTCGCCCCTATTGTCCCCTACTGCTTTTCTATACCCGGCTAGAGTGGGGTCAGTCCTTTGTTCCTGCTCAAACCCCTGGGGAGTATCCCAGAACGAGGGAGGGGGGTCGGGCAAAGGGGGATGTCAACTCCTACCTGGGTTTCCTCAGAGTGCAGCGGTGCTTCCAGTCTGGCTTGAGCTCGGGTGGTAACCGGATACGCCTCAGCTGGGGTGTCTCCGGCTAACTGGGAAGTTAAACAGCCCACATCATTCCCCAACAGTACTTCGGCTGGTAGCTCCTGCATAATGCCAACCTCTAGTTGTTTAGATCCCGAGCCCCAATCCACAAGAACTTTAGCCATGAGTAATTTGTGAATGGCACCCCCGGCGACCCTTACTGCCACAGTGCGGCCCGTGCGCGTTTGAGCCTTGACAGTGTGTGGTTGAACCACAGTTAACGTGGCCCCAGTGTCTCTTAAGGCGCGGGCCCCCACCCCGTCTACCGTAATCCATTGACGGTGGTGGTCCCGGTTGTCACCCCCGGCTTGCACAGGGGTGACTTCGTGCAACACACTCCATTGTTCCTCGTGGGGAGGTACCCATGATGTACTCTCCTGCTGTACACAATGAGCACCTGCCCTGGGTTGTGACTGTGGAGGTTGCCTTTCCCAGCTTCCCCGGTTTAAACGTGAGCACTGATTTTTAAAGTGTCCTGGTTGTTTGCAGTAGTGACACACTGCAGGTTGTCGGGGTGCTGCGGCTGGGTTGTGGGGCGAATTACTCAGGGGAGCTCTAGGTGGTGCAGCCGTGGTTGGGGCTGAATAAGGCTGTTTAAACGCAGGTCGGCTCACCCCTTGTTCTCGCCTCCTGTTATCCTGGTATTCATCTGCCAGTCTTGCTGCCTCCTCCACAGTTTTAGGCTTCCTGTCTTTAACCCAGTCCTTAATATCCTCTGCGGTATGGTTAAAAAATTGTTCTAATAGGAGAAGTTGTAAAGCATCCTCCAGAGTAGTGATGTACCGAACGGTTCACCAGCGAACGGTTCCGGGCGAACATAGCATGTTCGCGTTCGACACGGCGGGCGAACATATGCGCGGTTCGACCCGCCCCCTATTCGTCATCATTGAGTAAACTTTGACCCTGTACCTCACAGTCAGCAGACACATTCCAGCCAATTAGCAGCACACCCTCCCTAGCAGACCCTCCCACCTCCTGGAAGGCATCCATTTTAGATTAATTCTCAAGCTGCATGCTTAGTAAGAGGAGGGAAAGTGTAGCTGCTGTTCATAAGATAGGGAAAAGCATAGCTAGGTTAGGGATAAGGGTATGCTTTTTAAAAAAAAATATTTTTCTATGTAATGTAATTGCACTTAGTTGTCTGCCACTGCTGCCAGCTTCTGTGTCAGGCTCACAGTGCATACTGTGCCCATTGCCACCACTTAGATCTGGTGACACAAAGCTTGGATTTAAAAAAAACAACACTTTTTTCACTGTTATAGATTGAATAACAGTCAGTTGTCTGCCACTGCTGCCAGCTTCTGTGTCAGGCTCACAGTGCAAACTGTGCCCATTTCCCCAGTCAGTGCCACCACTTAGATCTGGTGACACAAAGCTTGTATTTAAAAACAAAAAACACTTTTTTCACTGTTATAGATTGAATAGCAGTCAGTGTCCTTAAAGCGGGTGTGTTACGCTAACAGTGGATACGGTGACCATTGCCACCACTTAGATATGGTGACACAAAGCTTGTATTTTAAAACAAAAAAACACTTTTTTCACTGTTATAGATTGAATAGCAGTCAGTGTCCTTAAAGCGGTGTGTTACGCTAACAGTGGATACGGTGACCAGTGCCACCACTTAGATCTGGTGTCACAATAGCTTGGATTTAAAAACAAAAAACTTTTTTTACTGTTATAGATTGAATAGCAGTCAGTGTCCTAAAGCGGGTGTGTTACGCTAACAGTGGATACGGTGACCAGTGCCACCAATTAGATCTGGTGACACAAAGCTTGGATTTAAAAAAACAAAACACTTTTTTCACTGTTATAGATTGAATAGCAGTCAGTGTCCTTAAAGCCGGTGTGTTACGCTAACAGTGGATACGGTGACCAGTGCCACCAATTAGATCTGGTGTCACAATAGCTTGGATTTAAAAAAACAAAACTCTTTTTTCACTGTTATAGATTGAATAGCAGTTAGTGTCCTTAAAGCGGGTGTGTTACGCTAACAGTGGATACGCTGACCAGTGCCACCAATTAGATCTGGTGACACAAAAGCTTGGATTTAAAAAAACAAAACACTTTTTTCACTGTTATAGATTGAATAGCAGTCAGTGTCCTTAAAGCGGGTGTGCCAGCCCTACAGCGTGTACTCTGCCAGTTTACAGTGCCACTCATATCTGGTGTCATAATAGCTTGCATTTATAAACAAAAAACTTTTTTCACTGTTATAGATTGAATAGCAGTCAGTGTCCTTAAAGCGGGTGTCAGACCTCCTTCAGCGTGTGCTCTGCCAGTTTACAGTGCCACTCATATCTGGTGTCATAATACCTTGCATTTAAAAACAAAAAACTTTTTTCACTGTTATAGATTGAATAGCAGTCAGTGTCCTTAAAGCGGGTGTCAGGCCTCCTTCAGCGTGTGCTCTGCAGACCTCTGCCTGTGTACTGTAGCGTGCTTTTACAAAGAAAAAAAGGTTTCCAGTGTAAGCTAATAGCACCAGTCAGTGTCCTTCAAGCGGCTGTGTCAGGCCTACAGCCTGTGCTCTGCACAACTGTGCCAGTGCACATTGCCACTCATATCTGGTCTCATAGTAGCTTGCACGCATAGTACCACTAATCCCCCAAAAAAATGACAGGCAGAGGCAGGCCACCCCGCAGGGGCCATCGTGGTCGTGGTGCTGTGATTCCCTTTGGCCCTAGAATAATGCCCAGTTTTCAGAGGCCACGTACCCTGAACTTGAAAAGTTCTGAGGACATAGTTGACTGGCTAACACAGGACACCCAATCTTCTACAGCCTCCGCTCAGAACTTTGACGCACCATCCTCCTCCAGCTTAGCTTTAGGCACCTCTCAAGATACCACTCACCCGCCTGCCGCCACCACCAAAACTAGCACCACAGCCACTTTACTTGGTATGTCAGAGGAGTTATTCACACATCCGTTTGAAGAAATGAGTGATGCGCAACCATTATTGCCAGAGGATGTAGATAACAGGGATATGTCTCAGGCAGGCAGTATTACACACATGGACGTACGGTGTGATGATGATGATGATGTTGTACCCGCTGCTGCTTCCTTTGCTGAGTTGTCAGATACAAGTGAAGCGGTTGATACGACTCCATGTATGGCCCATGGGATGCTCCGCCTGCGCCCTCAGCAAAAGAAGCATAGGGAAATAAAATCAGGTGAAAAGTTCAGATGGGGAGACAGAGAGGAGGAGGAGGAGGAGACGAGTTGGAAGCAGGGGGAGGTCGTCGCAAGGAGCTAGTGGCACAGTCAGACAGCATGCATCGGCACCGGGGGTCAGCCCGACAGCACGCCAATCAACACATGCTGTGTCCACCACCAGAATGCCGTCATTGCAGAGCTCAGCAGTGTGGCATTTTTTTTGTGTGTCTGCCTCTGACAACAGCGATGCCATTTGCAACCTGTGCCAAAAGAAACTGAGTCGTGGGAAGTCCAACACCCACCTAGGTACAACTGCTTTGCGTAGGCACATGATCTCACATCGCAAACGCCTATGGGATCAACACATGAGTACAAGCAGCACGCCTACTCTAAGCCGCCATCCTCCTCCTGGTCCAGCATCTTCAGCCACGTCAACCACTGCTGTCCTCCTTGCCCCCCTCAACCATCCGCCACTCCGTCTCCCGCCTTGAGCAGTTCCCGCTCATCTGCCCACAGTCATGTGTCTGTCAAGGACATGTTTGAGCGTAAGAAGCCAATGTCAGAAAGTCACCCCCTTGCCCAGCGTCTGACAGCTGGCTTGTCTGAACTATTAGCCCGCCAGCTTTTACCATACAAGCTGGTGGAGTCTGAGGCGTCCAAAAAATTTGTAGCTATTGGGACACCGCAGTGGAAGGTACCCGGCCGAAATTACTTTTCGCAAAAGGCAATCCCCAACCTGTACTCAATTGTGCAAAAGGAAGTAATAGCATCTCTGGCACACAGTGTTGGGGCAAGTGTCCATTTGACCACTGATACCTGGTCTGCAAAGCATGGTCAGGGCAGGTATATCACCTACACTGCGCATTGGGTAAACCTGCTGACTGCTGCCAAGCATGGAATGCATGCCTTGAGGAGTTGGTGACCGCCACGACTTCAGGTAGTCCTAAGGCACTTCCTACTTCCCTCCTACTCCATCCCTCTTCCATAACCTCCTCGGGCTGAGTCCTCTCTGCTGCTGCCTCTGCTCCACATCAACGCAAGCACCCCCAGCTACTATTCCACATCCCGGATAATGCAGTGTCACTGCCTGGGTTTGACTTGCTTGAAAGCAGAGAGTCACACGACAAGCACTCCTGTCCTTCTGAACGCGACAGGTGGTGAAAAGTGGCTGACTCCGCAGCTTACCGGATATCGCAAAGTATTTGCACAACGGAACAAATTTGTTAGCGCATTGAAGTTAGCAGGTGCTGTCACATGTGCCGTGCATGGCACATGTGTGTAATCTGATCGTACAACACTTTGTGCATAAGTACACAGGCTTACAGGACGTCCTGAAGCAGGCCAGAAAGGTGTGTGGCCATTTCAGGCGTTCCTACACGGCCATGGCTCACTTTGCCGATATCCAGCGGCTAAACAACATGCCAGTGAGGCGCTTGATTTGCGACAGCCCGACACGTTGGAATTCAACACTCCTAATGTTCGACCGCCTGCTCCAACAAGAAAAAGCCGTTAATGAATATTTGTATGACCGGGGTGTTAGGACAGCCTCTGGGGAGCTGGGAATTTTTTTGCCACGTTACTGGACGCTCATGCGCAATGCCTGTAGGCTCATGCGTCCTTTTGAGGAGGTGACAAATTTAGTCAGTCGCACCGAAGGCACCATCAGCGACATCATACCATTTGTTTTCTTCCTGGAGCGTGCCCTGCGAAGAGTGCTGGATCAGGCCGTAGATGAGCGGGAAGAGGAAGAGGAAGAGTTGTGGTCACCATCACCTCCAGAAACAGCCTTATCAGCATCGCTTGCTGGACCTGCGGCAATGCTGGAAGAGGATTGTGAGGAAGAGGAGTCAGAGGAGGAATGTGGTTTTGAGGAGGAGGAAGAGGAGGAGCAAGACCAACCACAACAGGCATCCCAGGGTGCTCGTTGTCACCTATCTGGTACCTGTGGTGTTGTACGTGGCTGGGGAAGAAAATACCTTCATTGACATCAGTGAGGAGGAGGAACGGGAAATGAGTAGCTCGGCATCCAACCTTGTGCAAATGGGGTCTTTCATGCTGTCGTGCCTGTTGAGGGACCCTCGGATAAAAAGGCTGAAGGAGAACGACCTGTACTGGGTGTCCACGCTACTAGACCTTCCTCGTATAAGCAAAAAGTATGAAATGTTACCAATTACAACAAGTATGAAAGGATGCAGCATTTGCAAACAAATTTGCGCGTTTTACACAGCTTATAAGGGTGATGTCACAGCACAACGGGAATCTAACAGGGGGAGAGGTGGAAGTCATCCCTCCTCCTCCCATGACCACTGCAAAGGACAGGACGCTTTTAGAGACGGTTGTTGATGGAGGACATGCGGACCTTTGTCCTACGATCGCCACAGCTCCTTCGATCCACCCTCAGAGAGCGACTCGACCGATAGGTAGCAGACTACCTCGCCTTAAATGCAGATATCGACACTCTGAGGAGCGATGAACCCCTTGACTACTGGGTGTGCAGGCTTGACCTGTGGCCTGAGCTATCCCAATTTGCGATAGAACTTCTGGCCTGCCCCGCTTCAAGTGTCCTGTCAGAAAGGACCTTCAGTGCAGCAGGAGGTATTGTCACGGAGAAGAGAAGTCGCCTAGGTCAAAAAAGTCTAGATTACCTCACCTTTATTAAGATGAATGAGGGATGGATCCCGAAGGGGCTGACACTGGGCGATACATTCGATTAAAAAAGGCCTGATGAGATGAGCTGCCTTGGGCTAAAAATGGTCCACACGCTGCTGTATTTTAGCTCTGAATGCCGGTTGACTTGCGTGACTTATCTGCCACCAACTAGGGTTCAAGCCGCCATGTTTTAGGGCACTTTCTGCCTGTGAAACAAACATCAATTATAGATGGAATAGCAGTTAGTTGTCTCAAAGCGGGTGTGTCAGGCTCACAGTGGATACTGTGCCCAGTGCCACCACTCACTCACTGGTGTCACAATAGCTTGGATTTAAAAACAAAAAACTTTTTTCACTGTTATAGATTGAATAGCAGTTAGTTATCTTCAAGCACCATTGTGACACCGCCACGACTTGCAGGCAGGCCTGCTGCCACCTCCTCCACTCCTCCTACTCCATCCTCTTCCATAACCTCCTCGGCTGAGTCCTCTTCTGCTGCTGCGTCTTGCTCCACATCAACGGATAGGAGACGTAACAGTGATTAAACTGATAACAATAGTAATTAAACACACCACTCCTATCTGGTGTCACATTAGCTTGACCGCTGCGAGTGCCCCAAATTTGCAGTAAGAGGACCGACCAAGCCTCTTCTTCCATCTCCCTGGTACAAAAATCAATGCCGTGTACACGTCCACTGATAGGAGATGTGGAAGGTATTAAACTGATAAAAATAGTACTAAACACACCACTCCTATCTGGTGGTACATTAGATTGCACGCGCAGTGCCCCAAATTTGTTGTGATCTGTGAGAAAGGTAAACGGCTGTCCATACAAGTAGGTTGCAGCTTTTTGAGGGCCCACACCACCGCCATGCACTCCTTTTCAATGGCAGTGAATCTACTTTGCTATGCAAAAGTTTACGGCTTAGATAAAAATCAATGCCGTGTACACGTCCACTGATAGGAGACGCGGAAGGTATTAAACTGATAAAAATAGTACTAAACACACCAGTCCCATTCCAGTCACACATTGACCGCAGTGCCCCAAATTTGCAGTAAGAGGACCGACCAAGCCTCTTCTTCCATCTCCCTGTTACAAAAATCAATGCCGTGTACACGTCCACTGATAGGAGACGCGGAAGGTATTAAACTGGACAGTCTCTATTCTGCTCTTGCATTTCTATTTCTTCATAGAAAACGAAAAAATTCTGAGAAGACGTTGGCAGGGCTATTCACTTG